AACTCAAAGAAGTTCATTTGATGGCACATATAAACATCTGCAATATGCTCATTAAACATGAGGAAAATGATCCTTTTTTGAAGCAACTGATAACTGGTGATGAGAAGTGGATTGTTTACAACAATGTGGTGGGCAAACAGTCTTGGTCCTGATGTGATGATTCGCCTCAAATGACGTCAAAAGCAGATATTCATCTTTCTTGAGCTCCTACCAAGGAACCAAACAATCAATTCTAATGTGTACTGTCAGCAATCGGATAGTTTGAACGACTCCATCATTCAGAAATGTCCAGAGCTTGTTAATTGTAAAGGAGTTGTGTTCCATCGCGACAGCATGAGACCACACACAAGTTTGATCACCTGTCAAAAATTACTGGAGCTTGGATGGGATGTGATGCCACGTCCACCATACTCGCCTGACCTTGTGCCATCAGACTTCCACTTATTTCGCTCTCTTCAAAACTCCTTGCGTGGTATAACGTTCAATTCAGATGAGGCTGTATATCAGCACCTTGTTCAGTTTTTCACCGATAAAGACAGGTCCTTCTCTGAACGAGGAATTATGAAGCTCACTGAAAGATGGCAAAAGGTTATCGAACAAAATGGGCAATATATCATTGATTGATCTTTGTTCTTTATATAAATAAATGACCTTTGAAAACATAGACAAAATACATCATGACTTTTCTGAAGAACCAATACTTGACTTTTTAGAGTATGTACACATACATAAACTCTGATAAAAATTAACCACTCCTCCCCCCAAAAAATGAAACAATGGAAAATTTCTCACTGAGTACCCTATTGTTATCACCAACCAAATTAGATTGGGTTATGAACTTGCAAACAGGAAGTCTCTAGTTTCCAAACGTAATGAAGCTATCATATAACACATAAAGAAAACGTAATTCTTAAAGTCACAGATACACCTAAAGAAAATGCAATTCAGCCACTGGACTAACATGCAGACTTTGGCATCACCATATAGTAAGCCAGAATGGAGAAGAAAATGTGACCTTTGGCCGTAGAGAGCCTGAAGTTTGGGCCCGAGCCACCACTGACTGCACCTATGCCTGTGGGAAATTTGTTCAGCCTCTCCACTTATTTTCTCTCCGGTAAAATGAGGAAAGTGAGACGTGCTTTGAAGGGTTGTTTTGAAGACTGAATACAAAGGGTAAAGCACCCAGCACAGCCCTGGCTGCCAGGTGCTCGTCCATGGCATTGTGTAAAGTACCTCTACATTTCAATTATTTAAAGTATCCTGGCCAGTCTCAGGAATACAGGGAGCTCATGAAATACTGCTCTCCCAGTGGGAAGAGGCACTATTTCTTTCCTATCAGCGTCCAAAAAGAATGAGGAAAACAGCGGCAGAGAAATAGGAAAGCAATAGCAACAAAGACGCATGGGGCATGGAAACAGGAGACTTGGGTTCGCACTGGGTCTTGGAGTCACGCTGAAGAGGAAGGCTTTTCTTTTCACGTTTCCCTTCTCCCTCTCCCGCTATTCAGGAGGAAAGCACCTCAGGAAGGCAGCCACAGGCAGGATCCTAACCGGACACGGAGGAGCCCCGCTTACCCAGCCTGCCCGTCTCTCCAGGGCTTTTTCAAAAAAATGAAATTCACATTCAGACATTTAAAATAAAATGCATTTTTTTTCTTATTTCAAAGGCAAATCATGTGCTTTCAGGAAAATTCATACAAGCAAAAAGAAGGAAAATAAAGATCCCCAATGTTACTGAAACTACCCTTTCCAAGCATTTTCTAGGCAATAAGTACATAAATATGTTCTTGTATAACAAATGAGATCAAATGGCACATACTATTCTGTAACCTGATCTTTTTCACTGAACAGGTTTCTATGTCAGTAAAAGAACATATCTAATGTCACCATGGGTGACTCAGGGTGACACTCAGGGCAGCTGGCCTCAGGCACTCCTGTGCCTTCCCTGGGCAGAGACTTGAAGCTTGTCCCTGCCTCCCCGCTGTGAACAATGATTCAGCGAACAACTTTGTAGTCAAACCTTTATACAACCCACGATTGTTCCCTCACAATGAATTCTCACATCCAGTCTTAATTTTCTCAAGAAAAAAAAAGACAATGAGACAATGTGATTAAAATGTTGAAATCGTAAGCGGGCCTCTTTGGCGGGGAGAAGGGGAAAGGCTGTAACTCGGCATGATGCTTTTCATTTTTGATTCTGTTCAGCCTCCAGATTTATCTCAAGTACAACCTCATAGCTAGTCAACAAACTTAAAACACAAACAAGACACAGCCCCTGTCCTTAAAGAGATTACAATCTAGTAGCAAAGATAAGAGACATAATAATTATCTGTAGTAAATGAGTTTTTTCTCTCATTTAGCACAAAAGTACCTGGCTTTTCACGATAAAAAGCAAGGACAAGATGGACATAATAATATTAATAATAGCTGATGTTTATGAGAACGTACTATGTGTAGGAACTGTTCATATATTAAGTGGCATACTGTATTAAATTCGTCAGTTCATCGCCACAGTCTATGAGGTAGCGCTACAGTTGTGAACATTATATTGTGGGAATTGAGGCACAGGGAAGTTAAGTAACTTGCCCAAGGTAACTCAGCTAGTGAATAGCAGAGCTGAGATTTGATTCCAGGCCTTTGAAGTCAGAGCCCTTTACTGCTGGCTGGGAGAGAGCGTCATGGTGACCCGGTATAAGAATAAGCATTGTGATTTAACCTTCTAGGTACTGCGGCCTGGAAACCGGCTTGCTGACGTCTCCCATGGTGGGGTTCATGGTGACCAATCAGTGCACCTTCCACACACCGGTCGGCTTTCCTCAGGTGCCAGTGGCTGCTATGGCCGTGGAGAAAGTGGGTCACTCCAGTGTGCACTACCGCCTTGCTCTGTTTCCGCCTAAGCCCACCAAGGAGCCGCCATCTGTTGATCACCGCGACCTCAGTGACGGGTTTTTCTTTGGCCACCCCAAGCTGGGGCAGTTTGATGCTGTGGCCTGTACCACTGGGCTCTCCATCCATGTCTTCGTGAATCCAGCCACCAACAAGCCCATGGGGCTTCCAGAAGACTTCAGGAGGGGACTTCTGAGGCTGATGAGGCCGGTTTCCGCGTGAATCACCTGTATGTGGGGCTGCACCTGTCAGAGAATAAAGTTTAGATTATTCCCTAAACTATTTCTTTTCATTCCTTAGCATCTATGTTTACCCTCAAAATCACTGTCAGTTTCTTAAAAGTTTTTGTAACAGAGCCATCTAGCTCCACTGATCAAGCCTCTCTTTGCATCAGGCCCAGCACGAAGTGCTTCACACACGAGGCATTCCTGAGCCCTCAGAGTCACCCAGTGAGGCAGGTACTGGCCTCCTTTTATGGAAGAGGAAAAGGGGGTTTGCAGAGTGGAAGTAACTGGCCCAGCCATTCTCCTAGTGAGTCTCTGACTCCAAAGCCCACCTGGGTGTGCTCCCTGCATGCATCTTTATCTCCAGTATCAGGAGCAGGGCGCATACTTTCTATGGTTTGGGATCGCTAATCTGATATGACTCATTAAAAGTCCTTAGCTTCTTACGGTTCATAACCACATTTTCTTTTTTGTCAAAGATGTGAACTTAAAAAAAAAACACAAGCCACCTTTCTTTTATGTATTTAAAACAACAAACACACCTTGGACAATTTTCTGATCAATCTAAAACCTGCATCAGTCACTGATGCCATTAGTCGAAGTCTAAAAATAACCACAGATAGGGCCGGCTGAGTGGCGCGATGGTTAAGAACTCGCTTGGGATGCCAGAGGGCCCCGGTTCGGATCCCACATATGAGGGCCAGTGACACTGCCCTCTACAGCTAAGATGCTGAACAACAGCTCAACCTGGAGCTGGGCTGCTGTGAGTTGCCGGCGACGGCGTAGGCTGCAGTCCCTGTGGCAGTGGGTTGCCATGGGCTACCGTGTGTGGCCAGCAGCCAGCGTGAGCGGCCAGCAGCCGCAGTGAGCGGCCGTCCAGAAGCCGGCGACTGATCTGCCTCGCCCGGGAAGAGCGCAATGATGGTGCCAACTTGGGCCAGTGAAGCAGCGTCCTCCACAACTAGATTGAGGAACAAAACGACAGCAACTTGTCTGTTCCCCTTCCCCTAATTCCCCAGTACTGTTCCCATCCCCCCAATTACCCAATAAAAAAAAATCTTTAAAAATAACCACAGATAAATAGAATCTTTGATGCTGAAACACATAAGGACCCTACTTTGTGGTAATTATACAAATGGTTACTCTTTATTGAGAGCTGGCTACACAAACTGCCTCGCAACCATTGCCTTAAATAATCCTTACGTTGCCATTTTTCAGATGAGAACGTTGAGGCTTTCAGGAAAGAGAACAGATGGAGTTGGGGAAGGAGGCCTGGTCTAACCTCTGCCTCGATCCTTTGAAGGGAAAACTGCAGGTTTCATCTCGCTTGGCCTCAGTTTCCTCCTCTGGAAATATGACCCTGAGTGACCTTTCTCAGTTGGATCTCTGAATGTGTTTTGAACACATGGAGACTCTCGATCTGCTTTTTCTGAATTGAGTTCCAAATCCCTGCCACAGATAAATAGCTTTGGAATACTGTCACCATGATAAAAACAATGTTAAATGCTATTCCTTTGTCATTTATTCACTCAGTGTCACCTAGGAATAGATGAATTTTGAGGTTTTAAAAACACTTCATTTAATTCTGAAACCCAGAAAGACTATTACCCAGCAGCCTTGTGTTTTAGGCACTGATGTATCTGAACTTTTGTACTTGACCTGCTCAGGAAGGTCCCCAGGGAGAACTCCTTTTATCGTCTCACGTTTCAGCCCTTGCCCATCTTACCTGTGCATTATCTCACCTCATCTTTGTAGGTACTCTGAGAGTTGGGTATTATTATTGTTGTCCCCGTCGTATGGTCGGAACAGGCACTTCAGAAGGGAGGTGACCTACCAGAGGTCACAGAACTTAAATGGGGCAGAGCTAGTGCCCGAATCCAGACAGGCCTTTGGACCCATCTTTCCATGCCACCAACTCTGCGTCTTATCCCAGTAATTGTGAATTTTTCAAATTACAACATGCGTTGCCATGAATTTTTTTAGATTGTTGTAGTACTCGCGGTAGTTTCACCTAAGAGGCTCTTAAATTGCAGGCCACATAGTGGGGTGAATAAGAGGGTGGGGTCTTCCTGGATTTGTATCCTGGATCTGCCATTTCTAAAGAGGGGAACCCCATATTTCAGTTTGCCCAGGATTTTCCTGGTTGTCCCAGCATCAGGGCAGGCTCACCCCTAATCTTTGTGGGCCCCAGGGTGGGAGTGAAAATGGAAAACGGCCTGTGGATCACTCCGCAATTTTCCTTCCTACCAAGGGGATCATATATGTGCGTGTGGGCACCCCAGCCTGCATGTTCAAACTGAGTCCACCAGTTGTCCCCTGGATCATTTGGGCGTAGGTGTATACACAACTGTAGCTTTGTCTGCCCTTTGGGAGACCCACCGGGAGGCTGCGCACACAGGCTCTGGAAGAGACTTAGGGTTATTTAGGCAGGGAGTTCTGGGTGCTACAGGGACTTGGAGCATGGTCTAGAAGCAAAGGTCCTGGCTCTGAACGGGCAAAACCCTTTAGCCCATGGACTCCTCAACCCATAAGGAAGATCCCAGCCAGAAGAGGAGCCGAGTGGGTCTCTAAATCCCAAAGTGGGCAGAGCAGGTTGTCCAGGATTTGGGGAGGTCCTGATTAAAACTGCCCCGCTTCACTGGAAAGGTTTCCTGTTCTGGACAATCAATCGTATAGTCACCTAATTGATGACTTGTGTTACTTCGGGCATTATTTCCCTTCATAGTTCTCTCATCTATAAAATCGAACAATCTGTACAGCTACCACTGGTTACCAGGAATGCTGCTCACCAAGGTGTGCAACATACACCGCTGAGCAACGGTAGGATTGTACTTCCCACCCCCTTGAAATGAGATGTGGTCATGTGACTAGCTTTGGCCAGCAGAAATGAGCATGGGTAACACTGGTCACTTTCAGGAGTGACCATATTTGCTTGCTTGTGCTTGACCCTCCATTGGACATGGGAGAATGTGGAGACGCACAGCTCAACCCCCACACCACAGTTGCCATGGATGAGTACCCTGAACCACAGCACACTTTGCAAAAGCAAAAATTAAATATCTGTTGCTTGAAACCACTGAGATGGTAGCGTTGTTTGTTACAGCAGCATAACCCAGCTGATCCTCTGTCTTACCAACCTCATAGGATTGTTGTGAAGGTTCCATGAGAAACGTGTGTTAAGTCCTTGGTATAATTCCTGGCACACAGCTTAGTATTTATCATAGGAGGAAAGAAATGCTTATTTGCTGCCACTACACAAGCTTCAAGATAGGAAAGTAACCAAACCTGATAGTCACTTCATTTCACGAGCTTCTGTGGGGAATCAGGCACTGTTTTCTATTTTATGAGAAAAATTAGACGTACTTCAAACTCATGGGATGGTGGGATGCATTATACCTAGGGTATGTGTCCCTAGCACTGGACTCCAGAACTGATCAGAACTGAGAGTGCAGATAGTCTTTGGAAATAGCTCCAAGTTCATGTAAATCTCACATGTTTAAGTACTGATGACACAGCACAATCTTTCCACTGCTCAAATTTTTAATTTTAGCGTGAGCCAAAGCAGTGAACATTATGGCCCTCATTGGTTTTTAGTAGGCAATTCTAGTTCTATAAACTCAGGTTTAAGATTACAGAGAGAGCCAAATCTAGTTGCATGTACTTGGAGGAAGCTAGATTTTATTATAAAGGTGGCAAAATAAATCTAGAAAGATTTAAAAAAAAAAATCCAGCCAGCCATTCACTACTTCATTCCACAAGATGTTTTAAAGCTGAGTTGCTAATAAGTGGCCATGTATCTAACGTTTCCTGGGCACTTCTGACCAGGTATGATTCGTGCCATTGCTAACAAGGTATAGCTATAATTCAAGCAGGTAAAAACCTTCAGGTGTTGCTGGCTTTCTAACTACATTGTTGTTACACTCGAATTCATTTGAAAACCTACAGCAAGAGACACGAGGTACAAAATGTGTGTTCATGTTTTGCTTGGACAGATTTTGGCTCCTAGCAATTAATGCTTTCAGTCTCATTAAGCATATAAATAATGCTTTGTGACATTACAGTATTTCCCATTACAGATCAATTTTGTAGCATTTGTTCATAATCAGACTTGAAGTGTTACCTAGAAACAAAATATGTTTCCCTTGAAACAGTCAGACCCTATTAGAAATCTAAGGCTTTACAAATCACCAAGTTAACATTTATGTCCCCTAGCTAGGGTTTCCTTTCCTTAAATAGTGTTAAGTTCAGCCCCAGAAGCACTAGTCTCTTTGAGGGTTTTCTTGTGTGCACTGACTTGAAAGGAAAAACTTAGTGCTCAAAATTTAACATCTTACTGTGTGTAACTTAATAAATCAACCAGTATTCCCTCTTGGAGGAAAAATAATGTTAGCACCTTTCAAAAGTGTTATGCTTATAATTAGATTACATATTATTATTTTCTCATTTTTTAAGGTAGGTTTTTTTTTCTTGCTAAAAAAGACAAAAAAAACAAAAACAAGGTTCAGCCTATTTGTAGGTAAGAGGAGTTATTCTCATTTCCTGACCACATAAGCATACACTATGGGTAAGCAAAGAAACAAACCCTGTATCAGATTTGGAGATTTCAGCGATAAAACTTAGTGTTAAATAGCAGAGATTTGGGACATCTGGTTTGGGTTTTGTCCCTGCCATTTAATCACTGTGGAATTTGGGGCAAAATTACTTCTCATTCAGCAAATGTTTGCTAAATTTTTTTTCCAGAACTTTTTTTTTTCCCCCCTGAGGAATAGTCTCTTTGATTAAAGCTAACAACCTGTCACTCTTTTAGCAAATAATGAGAGTCCTTATTGTAGGCTAGGCTCTACTCTTCTAGGTCCTGGGAAACAACAGTAAGACAGGTCAGACTATCACTCTCACAGTTTATATTCTAACCTGGGGAACATGCACAAATGTACAAACAGATAATGTCAAATGGTACAGTTGGTTGAATGGTATCCTCCCCAAAAGACACGACTACCTCCTAACCCCTGAAACTCGGGAATGTGTCCTTACTTGGAAAAATGGTCTTGGAGGACTGTTT